GTGCCCCTGCTCCATCCCCCTTGCTGAGGGATACATGCGGGAACACCCTAGGGCTCAGGCCTGGGCCTCTTCTCTTTCCTGATCTCATCCTCCTTCCACATGATCTCATCCATGGCTTCAAATACCTCTATAAACACATGGCTCCAAAATGTGTATCTCCTGCCCTGACTTCTCCCCTGAGCTCCAAACTCATATGCTCCACACGGCAGGCATCTCCAAAGGGCAAAACAGAATTTTCTATTTATGCACCCACATGAACCTGCCCTACCCTCCAGGAAAATGGAAAACATCCACCCAGGTGCTCAGGCCCAAAGCCAATGAGGTATTCTTTTTTTCCAATCAGACCAAGTATAACAAAGTCTTTAAATGTAGATATATATATTTTTAAAGAAGGGAGGGTGGGAGGCAGAGTCAGTCCATATCAGAGCTAAAGGCAGTCTTCCCCACTGTCCCCTCGCCGTGAGACATCCCCAGGCTGGGCTCCTGTGACCTTCCCTTAGACTCTGTGGCCCCTCACCCACACGCGTGGCTCCCACACAACACACGGTGAGCAGCCTCTCTGCCTCCCGGGCTGCAGGGTACAGGGCTGCTCAGTTTGACCTCCTCCATCATGGACACAGCCCTCTGCCTCTCTGACGACACACCTCTCTGGCAGTGGGACTCCCTCCACCCCCGTGAGAACCTGTTCCCACGCTGGCGGGAGCCCCTCTCCCCAGAGTCAGTGATTCCCCCCACCCCCAGGGTCACAGTTGACCCAGGTGTCGTGGGAGACCGGAGCGGGCTGTGTGAAAGGAGAGAGCTGAACCAAGCTGAGCAGGGCAATGGGAAGGGCTGGCTCAGGACAGGCTGAGACTCAAAAGGCCCCATCTGGCTGGGAGGACAGCAGCTCCTGGCTGAGACCCACACAGCTCAGGAATGTGGCCACACCGGGCCATGGACCAGGCAGAGGGCCCAGCTGAAGAGGCCTGGAAATCCTCACTAGCACTGGTGCTCAGGTGGAAGAGGGAGTTCCCAAAGCAACCTGGGGTTGAAGGAGGCTGAGTAAACGTCGGGCCGGTGAAATGCCTCTCCCTGAGCTCGAGCTCCACCCTCAGTGTCTGCAAGACCAAGCGTGGACACGGCACTGATGGCCAAGGCACTGTCACAGACAAGGGAGTAAGCCAGCTGGGTCACACAGGTGCCTGTGACTGGTGTGTGGCAGGTAACTTCAGGGAGGTAAGGTGGATTCTGGGGGACAGTCATGTAACCAGTGGCAGGTGAATGTGACACAGGCAGGCACACCTGCGCAGCGCAGGCAGAGGAGAGTGTGCACTGGCTTGGGATGATGCGAGTGCCAGGTGAGCAGTTAGGGACAGACAGGTGAATATGGGACAGGCGCACCAACACCACTGCCGAGCGCTTCCCACCCAAGTGCCAGATGTTTCAGGGCCGTAGTCCCCCCAGCCCAGGGAGACCTGAGGGCCCTGATGTCCTTGGAGAGCCTCCCAGGCCCCCTGTGCCCTCCAGGGTGAGCCTCCCTGCAGGACAGGAAAGGGCCCACCTGTGAAACAAACGCCCGGACTTCGGGAGGGCAGCCCAGCAGTGTCCTCAGGGCCAGAGCAGGAAGATGGGAGCGGGGAGGCACCCTCCACTCCAGCTGTGTTGCCTCGGTTCTCCAGGCTCCTAGACACTTCCTGGGCTCTGTCTCCAGGAACCAGAGGCCTGGTGAGTGCTTGCAGCCTCAGACTAGTCTGCTACCCCAGGAGACAGTGCCACACGAAATTCCTCCTGCGATGGCTGAAGAAGAGACTCCCTGTCTCTTGGGAGACAAGCCTGGGCTGGGAAGACCCCCCAACCCAGGCCTGCTCCCCGCAGTCACTGCGTCCCCAGAGCACGTGCACACACACCCCTCTCCCAGCCAGGTACCCACCACACCCACTCCGGGTGCATGCAGATCCCACGCCCACACACCAGGCAGGGGTAGGTCCTCCAGAACTGCTGGGTGGAAGGTCACCAGCAACCTGGGCGCTGCCCCCATCCCCAGACCTGTCCTCAGATCCCAACCCAAGGCCCTCCTGGAGCCCCCGCAGGCTAAGCCTACTCCTAGCCCTTTGCCCTCCTCCCAGGGGGCATCTGCTAACTAGAAGACCAGCCTCAGGGATGCGAGTGAAGCTGGGAGGAGATGGTGGTGAGCACAGCACATCACCGCACTCAACCGCTGACGGCTCCCAGGATTGGCCCACCTTGCTCTCCAGGCATCTGTGGTGTGGGCTCCTATGCCCAGCACCTCCCATAAATCACGGCCCCAACTGCCCTTCCCCTTCTAGCCCCTCCACAGCAAGCTCACAGAGGCACTCAAGGGTATCTTCAGTTCAGCAAGCTCCCATCTGTGTGTCCTGGCCAAAGAGGGGTAGGAAGCACGGACCAGGAGGGGTCAGTACCATCTCCTCCTACCCTATGACTATGCAGGCACCCCATGTTCAAGACCCACCTCCAAGAGCCCACCACCCCAGCCTAACATCATACACGTGCACACACACCACAGCCTTTGTCACTTACAAGAGGTGAACCTTTCCTGTTTGTGGGCCAGGCCATCCAAATATTTCCAAATCACCTGGCCCTGGGGGCCCCCTGCCTTGCGGGAAAAGGACCCTAGGTTCTGTTGGCCTCACTCAGTTATCTTTCTCTCTCTCCCTCTTGTTCATTCCACCTCTCAATTTCTTTCTCAATCTTTCTCTCCACCATTCTCTCAGTCTCTCAGCCTCCCTCTCAATCTCTCTCTTACAATGTCTCTCTCACCATCTCTCCCTCTCCCAGGGTCTCCTGATCAATCCCCCACCATCTCTGTCATTCATTCTCTTTCACACACAATGTCTTTCTCAAAACCTCTCGTCACCCCTCACAATATCTAGCTCTCTCAATGTCTCTCGCAATCTCACGCCCCTTCTCATCTCCCTCCCAATCTCCATCTCTCCTCTCCCTCCCTTTCTCCCTCTTTCTCACCCATCTCAAACCACCTCCCTCTCTCTCTCTCATACACACACACGAGCACGCGTGGCAGGGAACCCAATACTCAAGGGTATCCACAAAGGCACACCTGTGTGTGTACTACCTGAGGCACACACTTGATGTGCAGCACATATAGTATTTGTGTAAACCCATTCTTGGGCCTCTATCCCACCTCAGTTGCTCCTTCATTGGGCAACTGAGGCTGTACTTGGACTTGCAAACCAGTGAAGGAGAGGGGTCCTAAGTTGAGACTCTAAAGGCCAGGGCAGGGTCTGCCTCAGGTTACAGTACTAACCATAGGCCAGGCACTGTGGAGACAAGAGTGAACAACCCAGACAGACCCTGGCCTGGAGTGCCCACCCTCTAGTGAGGAGATGGACATGAAGAGGACTCTTTTTCTCTCAGTACATGAAAGTACAGCAGTTAACAAAAGCACAGTTAGAGGTGTCACCAGGTGTCAACATCAGGGGAGACATCCTAGGGGCAGGTGGGTTTGGCACCCAGCAGTGGAGGCTCATGGGTAATCTACCTGACTTGAGGTCTGGCTCTCACACTGCTTCCTCAGTCTCAACAACCATCATGTCAGCATAATTCCTGACAATGGACTGGAAGATGCTGCTTTTGGAAAAGAGCCTAGAGATCGGGGCCCCAAATTCTGGGTGTTCGGTGAAGTGTAATAACTAGGAGCCTGGCTTATTCGTGTAGCTGAGATCGGAAGGATGTCACCAGAAATTAAAGCATCGGGCAGGGGGTGGGTCCAGGCAGAGCGAACTGCATGTGCAAAGGCTCTGGGGTTAGAGGGATGGTGGCGGTCACCAGCCCTGGGAGAAGGCAAAAGAGGGTCATGGAGCCCAAAGAGAGAGGGCAAAGTGTGGCCAGAGATAAAGCCACTGCCCCCCCAGGGTCATGCATTCCCTTGGCTCTGACTTTTGATATTGGCACATGAATTCAAAGGAGGCTCCATGCTGTGATGACTCAGTCCAGCTGGATGGGGAGCATGGTAACCAGGATGGAGCAGGTGTGGGGAGGGATGGTGGTCCCCATGGCAGGAAGATCAGGGACCACCTCCACAGCAGACACAAAGAAAGAGAAGAGAGTAGAGCTGAATTTGCCGCAAGGAGAAACGGAGGCCAAAGCAGGCTTCGACATTGGAAGCAATCAGAAGAAAGCTCTGCAATAACTGGCTAGAAAGCAAAGCAGCCCAGCTCAAGAGGAAGAGAAAGCCAGAAAGAACCTCCCATGCCTGGAATATACTGTCTCCTGCCCCACTGGGATCACCTCGTCCAAGAAGCCACCTTGATCCTGTTAAGTCCCTTCCTCAGGAGACACACGCTTCCCCTATCTCAGGGCAACCTCTGCGTTAAAACATTTGGTCAACGATCGCCAAACACCATGTACTTCCTTCCTCAGCCCACTGGAGGGCCCCCCGGCTCCGGGCCTTAGCCCAGCTGGAACCCGCCGGCTGCCACTTCCCCTCCTACGCATCCCAAGGAGCAGTCCTGACAACGTTCTGGTTCCTACCGCCTGGCTCCCCCAGATGAAGGATCTTACGTTTAACTGTGCGGGGAACGGAGAGCGAGAGCAGTAGTCGAGGTGGTTCAGTTCTCATAGGAACAAACGGACGGACTTAAAATATTCCGTAAAAACCACCGTGATGGTGATTGTGATTAGGAGGTCTCTCGCCGCAGGGGCCACCCACAAGTGCAAATCCAACATAAGCCATCAGTGAGAAGCTTCGCAATGCTGATGTGTCTTTCAGAGGAAAAGAAAAAAATCTACATTTCCACACACCACATTTCATTAGGTAACCGCTCTCAAGACACTGACATAAACAAAACCCCACGCTAGCCTAAAGTCTTTAAGGCAAACACATATTTGGGGATTTTAGAGGAATTTATACAAAAGTAGTTAAACTACAATGTTTTATCACTTGAACACTAGCTATATATGATACACAAATTGCACATTTGTGAGTTTCTTGTAACTTCCCTAAGAAATAAAAACCGAGGGCCAAGTTTTTAGAAGAAAACTATATTCTTTTAAAGAAAATGAAAATATTCTCAAAGGAAAAACTTAATTTAAGTCAAATCATATGCTTTTGTTGTGGAGCCTGATACACAGTGCTTTCCTGTAACAGATGGGCAGGGCGCCCCCTCGCGGCCTCTCTCGACCGAGACCTGTAGCTGGAATTCTGCACGAGGTGTTCTTTTCCCGAGGCCGAGGACGAGAGGGGTTGGGAACGAGGAGCCAGGGATGGGAAGACCGGGGCGGGATGAAGGCTGAAAACGCCCATCGGAGTCCCGGGGGCCAAAACCCGCCGTGACCACATGGCCGAAGGGAGGGCCCCTTCGCAGGCCTCACTCCCTAAGGGTGTCATCCCTCACCCGCTTCTACGACCCCTCCCAAACAATGAACCCTTCCCACCCACCAGCGGGCCAGGCGCTTATGAGACAAACACGCGTGCCCTCCGCCAACCCCCGCCTTCCCGGAGCTTTCTTGAAGGGGGTCCCAGACCCCTTCTACACAGGGAAACTGGCTCCCGCCCCGAGGCCAGTCGGAGGACGGCGGCCGTGTACCCCGCGCCCCTGCACGTGGTAACGGCCACCTTCAGCCCCGTGACCCAGAGCCGGTCTGGGAGCCTGCCCCCGAGGCCACGGGGCACAGGGGGGGTCCCGAAACAGAAGGCGGGTGACGGGGTGGGGGCGGGAGGCGGCCAGGGCCCGAAAGAAAGGAAGCCGTTTGAGGAGGCACAGACGGTGAATAAATATTAGTAGCTTCGCCGTGGGGCCGGCCCCTCGGACAGCAGCTCGGTGGCCGGTGGGAGTAGGGGTGGGGTGGGAGCCGGCGGCCGCGCCCACCCTGACACAGAGCTCCGACACTGACCTGGGTCACCCATCGCCGGCGCGCGCGCAAAAATATACTCGCGCAAAAACACGTGCGTGCGCAGGAAAACGCGCTCCTGAGCGAAAAAACGCGCGCGTGTGCACGCAGACACAAACACACGCCCCCAGGGTCGGGCTACCCGCCCCCAGCTCAGAGCTCGGTGACGTGCACAGCAGGTGAGGGAAGTGGGCCTGGCCGGAGGCGCCGCAGGTGGCAGCGGCGGCACAGCAGGTGGCCCTCCAGGGGGTAGCAGCGGCGTCCGTCCTCCCCGCTCAGCTGCAGCCCACAGTCCTAGGGAAGAACACAGCCCCGGTGCCAGAGTAAGCAAGGGAGGGGTGCATCAGAGATCTGTAGGACCCTGCCCACCTTCCGGAGGACTCTGGCCTTTACTCTGGGGGAAGGGGGTCAGGAACCCAGTGCTGGACACCCCGAATTGGAGAGCGTCTTACACATCCAAAGGAGCCAGCCAGGAGGGAGGTAGTCAGACACTAGGCTGGAGTCTGGGAGAGAGGGCTGGGCAGTAAATGGGGACATCAGCATAAAAATGTGATAAGTTTTTAACAACAAAACAACAGGAGTTTCTCCCTGGGAGTGCAGATAACTAGAAAAGAGAAGAGAAAAAACAGCTGAGCTGTGGAAGCTCCAACTTTAAGAGAGGAAAGAAAAGGAGCAGAGCCAAGATTTTAAGGGAAGATGAAAGAGGAAAACCAAAAACTGCCTGTCCTAAGGGCACAGTGAAAAGGGCGTCTAGGAGGGAGAGTCTAGGAAAGTTGCTGCGAGCTTAGGACAGTGACAACTGAGAATCATCTCCTGGATCCCCACATGGGGGTCACTGGTGACCTTGGGAAGGGGGGGAAAGTCAAATAGCTGACCTCAGTGGCCTTAAGAGATAGTGGAACAGAAGACCTGAAGACATCAATTCAACAAGGAGTTTTGCTTTATGTCCCTTATCCTACCATGTTTACCACTGCAGGATATTTTATAGGCTAATTTTCTCTGTTTAACAAGTTATGTGATTCGCGTTTGACCTCTAACAGGCAGGAAATGTGAAGGGCAGCCATGGAGGATGATGGTGTGCTGCGAGCGACAGTGGGGCACCAGGCAAGACCTACTGGACAACTTTTTCCTTCCTTTCGCCCCCCCACCCCAAGAAGGCCCCTTTGGTCACACTCTCACTGCACCCAGGGCTAAACTCCAACCTGGAAGCTTTGACACTTGTTACCCAGAGGCCCTGAGACCAACATCTACCCCGCCCCACACAGGTGATGGAGCTGGGCTGTTGTGATGGAGCTTCATGTCCCAAGCAACTCAGGTCCCAGGTGTCCTCCGTGTCCTGTCTGGCCACAGCCCCCTGTTCCCATCCAAGGGTCTCCCCTGGGGACAGCAGCACCACGTCTCACAGCCCCGAGGCGCTGGTTGTACCCTGCCTACAGCTTGACCTGCTCCTGGACTCTCAGCATCAGCCTTTCCTTAAGCACTGAGCTTAGCGACCCCAAGGGGACACTGCAGTCCCCAGGACTGCAGAGCAGAATGCCCTCCTACGGTTGCTGGAGGAACTGTGGCCATGCCTGCTCCTGACCCCCCTTCCCTGGTCCTCCAGCAGGACTCCTATTCCCTTTGGGCCACTTGCCCCCATCAAGGCAACCTGGTTCCAGGTGGACCCTAGATTCCTACTGAAGGTTTCTCACTGACACACCTGCTCTTCCCTGGGGGCTCTGAAACCCAGCACTTGGTTTTTCTCCTACCTCTCCGTGCATCCCCGGAATGCTGGAGCTCCCTGGGCTACCCTGAGCCCCGGCTCCTTCCCCTACAGGTCTTCCTGGAAGACCCTCATTTACTCCCCGGGCTTCGGCAGCCACGTACATGCCCACGATGGGACTCCTGCTTCCGGCCATGACAGTAACAAGGACTGGATTCCCCGCCCTACCTTTAACAATGGCAAACTGGGCAAAATATGTGAAACGAGGATTCTCAGACTCTGAACAACAGGCAAGGCAGGCCAGTGATCTCTGAGAGAAGGGAAACCGATAAGGAGAGCCCTACAATTGCCCAGGTTACTACCTGGAGAGATTTTTCCAGGCTGCCCATTGGTCTCCCTGAGTTGAGAATTTGGGGAGGCAAAGGCAACTAGAAACCACAGGGCAGAGTATCAGAGAGGAAAGAGCTATGTATGCCAATGACTCCCAAACTCCTACACCTGTACCACAGTCTTTATACTCCAGCACATCCGGCTGCCGCCTGGATAGTTCCGTTCAGGTGTCTCCAGCTACCAAAAGTGAGATCATCTAACGCCTTCCTCCTCTCACCCTCACTCTCTCCTGGGGTCGTAATGGACACCTTCCAACCCCTCAACTCCCACGTCCAATCACTGACCAAATCCAGTCCCCTGTACCATCTAACCAACACTAAACTCAGCCTACTTGCTGGAACCCAGGGCCACAACCTTGACTCTACCCGCCTCCTCAGGGAACCTCAGCCCCTACTCCCTCTTCCTCCATTCATTCTCTGCATGAGTGCCCTTTCTAAAATCTCAGTGACATCGCGTCATCCTTTTTCGATCCTTCTCCATTGCCCTCAGGATAAGTCCACGCTCCTCAGATCAAGTGGCCTTTCGTCCGCAGCTCCTGCCAACTCCTCCAGTGAAACAAAACAACACACTCAGCTTCACACCTTAGCACATTCTGCTTCCACTGCCTGAAAATGCCCTTCTCCCTGCTCCTTGGCTAACTCTTATTCATCTTTCAAATCTTAGCTTGGGTGTCACCTCCCCCAGAAAGCCTTCCTTGATTTTCCAAGGCCTGCTCCGTGCTCTGAAAACTCCCCTTGATAGCACTGATGACCCTGTATAAATACTGCCTGAGTACTTGTCTCTCTGGAGGATAGAGACTGTCATTATTCTCTGTACATCAACAACACCCCAACACTGTACATCCTCGGGAAATATTTGACCGAATGAGAAACGGGCTGAGAGAAACCATATCCTGGAGGGGAGGGAAA